TAGTTTTGCATCTCTTTGTAGTTGGCGTGGGTCTCTTTGTGGTCATTTTGTGGATGTTTTTCATCGGTTTCTGGTTGTTTTGCATCTCTTAGTGATCTTTTTGCATCTCTTTGGAGCTGTTTAAAAGACTAACAATAAACGTTGACAGTTGTTTCATACAGACTCTGTCCACCCCCTGCCTTGATCAAAACAATCTCGTTGAGATTTAATTAGAGCAGCTCTTAGTATTCAGACTGAGAAGGTTGTTTAGGTGCACATATAATGTTGTAATGGGCTTTAGTTGAGCCTTTGTTTTGAGCCCATTGATGCCCAGAGGCGGTTATTGGGTCGCTGTCCGTGGTTCTGAAAGTAAACAGGCCATGATCACTTCCATGGGGATATAGCTGCTTTTTGGACTAATATGCCACAGCAGGATACGGCTTGACTAACCAGCGTTTTTGGATATCTATAGAGCACATGCGGGAATTCAGATGTTAAACCTTTGACTAAACGTGAGTCACACTCATCATGGGAACCGACTCAGCGCCTCACAAATTGCACCCAGCAGGGAACCGGACCTTGTGCCTTTAGGAGCGTCTGAGAGGCGCAGGCGCAAATGTCAGACAGTTTTATGGCAGAGTTTTGCTTCTGAAAGTACAACGAATGCGACGCACAGACACATTAGGTGATTTTCAAATCAGTTCCACATCCCAGTGTTGAGAATTTAACAAATCTCTCTCCTCCGGCCGCATTTGTAGACTAATCTGTTGTGTCACTTTTGTTGCCTCTGTCTGATGAGGTGCGAATCCCGAAGGAACTGACACCCTCCTCCTCCTCCACCTCCTCTTCCACCTCGTTGTGGTGCCGCAGCAGCAGACAACGCGGTGAGTGTGTCCTGCAGCAGCAGCAACAACAACAGCAGCAACGGCACCTGTCGTTTTCAGGACGAGCTGATAACCGATTTAGGAGTAAAAGAAAGGTGTTCTCCGAAACAATTCCCAGCCACCGAAACCGCGGGGGTCCGTGAATACCGATGGCTTCATGTGTAGATATTTGCGCCTCTCAAAATTACGCATCGGTAAGTTCCTTTTGACTTGTTTTCCACGCCGAGTGCTGCGCGCTTTTACTCACACCTCTGGCATTTCGCTGCGGCTGATCAATTTAAGAAGCATTTCACCGAACCCGAGGGTAGCCTTGTATGTCGAAAAAAACATAGGCTACTTCTTTTTAAATGACAACAGGCGAGCTGCGGGGGTGAATTTCGAGTGAGAGTGTTCAGTGAATAAGCGGTGGGTTAGTGCTTTTCTTGCTGATGTTTTCCATGTGCAAAGCGAAGGTCACCCACATGCATTGGTGAATTAAAGGTTTTACGAATGCGGGAATAAAAGGGAGAGAGGCTTGGATAAATTACCCCATTGATTCTGCATCACCAAGGGAAATATCATTTGTCCCTGATTGATTTTAATACGACTGTTTGCCATTTTTCTCTCCCTCCGATATGCCCATAACCCGTTTGACATTTTCTTTAAGATTTAAAGAATAAGAAAAGAAGCAGTAGAGGAAAAACGTTGTTTCTGTAATGTATCCTATATATCCTGTATAATTATGGCACAGCAACATTAACTGAACATAACAAATCTGCCAAGAACTAATGATTTTGAATGGCTGCGTTGTAGCACACTGACAGACATGCAGTCCCCTGTCACAGGCATTGACAGACTAGTATGTGGGTTAAATGAAAGCGTCCCCCTGTCTTACTGGGATCGTTTCAAACTGAAAATGAATTATTAATGCACCACGATGTTCACAGGAATTCAACACACATGAGGAGGAAGCTAATGTGTTGAGACAGATCTTTGAAATTCCCATTGCAATCGGAATAAATCATTAGGGAGGGTGCACAGCCCCTTCTCTCTTGTTTTTCTCTGTCTGTATCTGCATCTGTAGACACACACACACACACACACACACACACACACACACACACTTGCAGTTGTGGGATTGATTGACAATCTAGTGGTCCCTGTGCTAATTATAGCCAATGTGGTTCCCACATTAGTTAATTTTCTTTTTAGGGTGTTTCTTGCCAGTTTTGGGTCAAGTTTAGTGCCTTACATTTGATTCAACCATGATTTATGACTGGAAATCCTCATGAAAACTGTTCCATCCTGTTCTGTAGCATGTCTTGTCTTACTGGGATACTTTCAGAAAATAAACAGTGCAATCGGTGCTTTCTGTAAACCCTCTATTTTCATATGTACTGGACTAAACGCAATTTGATTTTTCCTCACTATAAAGCTCCACAGATTTCTAAGTGACTCACATGCATCCAGTGCTGAGCAAAGCAAAGACTCTATTGCTTTCTTGCCCTCAGGATAGTTTGATGTTTAGCCCTTATGCTGTTTCCTGCACCATTGCTTCCTCAACACCAAAGCCATGGATTTATTCTAAATACCAAGCTCTGTTTTTTAACTTCATTTAAAGCCTCCAGCAACATGGATGCTGTGACATTTTGGGTTAAGGAGATGGAGAGAAATTGGTCTACCAAGTTGTCATTGTGTTTCTCTTTGTGTCTTTCTTGTGTGTTTTTCTGTTCAAATGTGCATCCCGACAGTTTAGTTTCAGCCCTACTTGACACATGTTAGCCCTCGTCTATATCTCTGGGTTTTTCCTCTGAGCACGGTCTGTCCTATTACTTGATAAAGCATCTGAGAGATGCTTTAGAGGTAATTGGATTCGGTACTAGAGGGAAGGGACACAGAGCGGAATTTGTCTGTGTGTGTGCCTGAATTAGCTTAGGGTGAAGACGTGTGTGTGTGGTTCCTTTGATTGTATGTGTGTTATGTGTCTCTGCTGGCCAGTGTGCTTTGTGTTTGCAGTGAATCATTGTGTTTTCAGGAAGCTGTGTGGATGAGTAAGACATGAAGGGAGGAGGTTTTTATCTGCACATAAATTGTATTCTCTTAAAAGAAATTTATGCGTTCCTTCCGAATTTCTTGCCTTTGGTAATCAACTTGTCCTTCATAAATCCATGCCTTTCTTTCAAGTTTCTGCTTTAATTTGAGATTCAGGTGATGACATATCTTCACCAACCAAAACGTTGCCTCTGTGAATTGATCCAGGGGATGAGATATGAAGTGATACATACCCACTGAAGTGGTGTAACATACAGTATATATCAATTTTCTGTTTGTTTTTTGGTTAAAAACTCTGTAATTGAAATAAAACTTTATTTATTTAATTAAAATCCAGCTTTTAATCAAATAGTTTGCACTTAGAAATACTAACCACAATTTACAAACTCCCAATTTAATGTCATCATGTTGCTTATTTTGCCCGACTACAGCCCCCAACCTACAGATACTCATTTTACTGTTACATAAGACAATAAAAAGCAGCAAATCCTTATAATTACTTAAACAATTATTTAAGGATCAAAATAGTTGCTCTTTATTTTTCTCTGGACTGTAAATAATGAGAACAGTCTAGACCTGCTTTAAATGAAAAGTGTCTTATTTTGATTTTGTGCAATACAAATAAAACTTGATTTAACTGAAAAATGGACTAATCAGTTGAACAATTTATTGTTTTAGCCTCAGTTTTCTTAAATTTACTGTGGCTTCTTTTTCACCAGTTTTACCAGTTTGACATTTCAAAAGCACTCTATTTGAGAAATGGTTATTTAAAAGTTAACCATGATCATTAGTGATGCCTAAAAGTAGCAGGGTACCACAATAAATGTACTTATTTATTCCCATTGTTGTCCTCAACGTGTCAGTAAGGCAAGGCAAGTTTATTTGTAAAGCAAATAAGAAGAAAGTGTTGTATATAAGACATTAAAAGGCCCAAGGCAAGATACAAAGTGGTAGAATAGAAGATTAAAGATATAACTCTTCTCTCTTCTCTGTTTTTCAAATGACCACTTGAAGTTGAAGAGATTTACTGACAAAATATAAAGTTACAGGTTGTTTTGTTCCACAGACGCACTGACTGAAAGCTAGTTGTGAAGTGGGAGAAGCTATTTTGGGTGTTTTTCTCATAGACAATGTTATGTGACTTACAACTGGAGCAATTTTTGGATCAACATAAAACCCTGACCCTGAAAACACTGAAATATCAGTGCAAAAAAAAAAAGCACAGCTGGGTCAGGGAAAAAAGCTAAAGATCCAAACCTCTGTACATAAAAGCTAGAAGTTAGCTACAACTCCCATAGTGCATTTGAGCAAGAAACATTCAATTACGGAGTGATTGACAGTGGATGGAAGCTAAAGATTATGGTGTTGATAAAACTTAACTTAAATGAATTCAGACTTAAATTCTGCATGAGTTCAACAACTATGACGCTGCGTTTTGTTCTCAACTCCCCCGACACAGCTGTTTTAATTTAACTACTGCGTCTCTGACTGGTTGATTCTCCATGGCAACGGCTGCAAGGCTCATGGGTATTTTGAGCCATCCGCACAATTTCTTCGAAACAAAGTTGAAAAGCACGTGACATAATGCAACAGAGTCTTGTTAGCAGCAACAATTAGTCCATAATCAAGCTTCCAAAAAACATTATAATATCAACTAATTGTAACGAACTGAAGCTCGGCTTATTGCTTTTCTTGTGACTCTTGGAATGGAACAAAGTAATTTGAGTTGAGTTGAATTGAGTTGTTATGTTATTGTTTGTTCTATTATAGCCTTTTTCCTCTATGTGTTGTATTTCAGAGCCCTTGATGCTCAAGTGTGGTGACGCTGAGGGGAGCAATTTCAGTACATCCCTGTGAACACACACACCCAGACACACACACACACACACACACACACACAAACACACATATTGTGGAGCCTTTTGGATACAAGTGCTTCACAGGAGACAATGAG